CATGAATTTTGTTCAAAGCATTTGATATGAAATTTATTGCTATAAATTGTTATAAATATCTTCTTCTCTTCACCATGAAATCATTCGTAAAATCATTCTGAGCTCGTTTCCCAGAAAAAAAACTAAGTTACGTGACAGAGCGTTCGTTTTAAACAGAGTATGTAGTAAACGCTAAAAAATACAAAGAAATTCCGTTGTAGAAGAATTAAACCAAAAAAATCCCTGACTATGCCAAAATGATTACTTGAAACTGTTACACTTAGTTGCTGTAAAGAAGATGTTTATTGGCTTAACCTACAGAGAATTAGATCAAAGAAAACAAAAAACATTTATATTTATGCATTTTAACTTATGTGTCTCCTTCTTTCGTATATTTCAGTATAATATTACATAGTGTCAACATTTTTTTTGTCATAAGAGTTTTCTGGCTAATAAAATGATTTAATGTTTTCTCCCAAGCACTCAACATTTATTATTTTAAAGTCTTCAATTTATACAATGGGTCAAAGTTCCTATATATACTCAATAATCAAAATAACAATCAAATATAAACAATAAGAGACAAAGTAAAATGAGCTGTAATTACTTCCATGCATGATGTCTTTGTCACTTTTAATGTTAAATGCCTTCCAACTGACACCTTGACAGCTTTAAAAGAGTTCATGCGTTATGTGCCCTTTCCTCCCAAAATGACACTTAATCTCGGTGATGCTTTTTATACAGAGCAAATGATTCATTATAAAAAGTATACCTCAAACGAAGTTAAATACAGCGGAGTACGGTGTACATGAACGTTCATTCTGATTGTCAGATGAAATAAAATGACATTTCTGGCTTTATAACAAAAATCTACTGTATCTTCAGCACTAGTATCAGTTCACTTTTCACGTGTTGGACTTCTTTTATGGACGTGTACAGCTATCATTGTTAGAACTTTTCATTTTTTTCAATTTTTGGGATATGAATATGAAAAAATAAAGTCAGTAAGCCTAGTCAGACTAGACGGTAGGGCAGGCTTGCCTGCCATTAAACCGATGACAAATTATAATCACTTTTGATCATCTCAACAGAAAACCTAGCAGGGTATTGGTAAACTGGAAAAGGTCTTCAAAGATTTTATGCAAACATCTTTGCTGTTTACCAAAGTTTTCTTTCTAAGAACAAGTTTTCACTTTTGATAATAACAATAGAAAACCCAGCAGGGTAAAGGTAAACTTGAAAAGGTTTTCGAAGATATTGTGAAAAGAACTTATTGTTTAACAACAGTTGTCTTTGTAAGTACAGGTTTTCACATTTACCTTTTATCTTTGTGAAAATAAAATAAGACAAAATATTGACATAATGTTCTAGGCATTTCATTCATAAATGTTACAAACCTATCCTATGCCAAATCATTGTTTCCACATTCATACGGTTATCTAGAACTGCTGATTTATTCGTAATGAAATAGTGTATATATCAGCACAAAGGAATTTATCGTAAAAAGGATATAATACTCACATTAATATCAATCTAGGAATAAAGTTAATTTCTTTATTAAATCGTATTGCTATGTTTATTGCATTTCGATCCCCGCAGATATCACATTTAACAGCTGCTTACAATATTTCATTATGAACAATGCCTGTGGTCGTACAATAAGCCAGTTATCGATTACGTTTTGAAATCATACCTATTTTTCATATCAAATTTGGCATTAACAATATGAACATTAAGAAAACATAACGATGCGTATGTGAGAAGTAGCTATATTGAAATTAAGATCCCTTCGTTACAACGGTAACGGTTATTTTGAGCAATTGTTTAAAATAATTGATTTTAGAGAGAAAATAAAACAGGGGTTGACAGAAGCAACATTAACACAAAATAGTATTAATATTGTCATTATCAGATCTGTATGTGTGATTTGATTTATAAAAGTCAAGTTGGCTATTTATAGAACTGAGATTACAATAAAACAATCTTGTCTTACATCAAGGCCACATTTGGTGAGTTAAAGTAGGTTTTTCATGTTTTTTGGCTATATTTATCATTAATAAAACCCTTGTAACAAATATCTTTAAAAAGTTAACAGCGAAGGAAATAAATCATTTTTTCGACGTAGAATCACCTATACCAAACGTATACGAGCGATGCAGCACAATAAATTACTAATTAAGCTAACATAATAATGGACTGAAATCATGTTAATCCTATTTGAGGGACGTGTATTTGTGACAATATACGTTAAATTAATTGAAATGTACAGTAGTTTTGAAGTGCAACAATAAGAACAGATTCTCGTATAGACTTGTATAATAACCATCAAAGAAGCTAATTTAAGAAATGACAAGTAAAACTTAAACATAAATATAAGACAAATTAATTGAAAAAAAAAATATCACAGACGAAAAAAAAAGTTTTATTTATGTCAAAAACACATTATAGGTATACTCCAATCTTTAATATAAACTGTATTAAACTTATTTTAAAAGTCACGATGATTAGAAAAACTCGTAAAATGTTGACATTAATCATTCAAATTGCGAATTCATGCAATAATGAGAGAAATACAATTATCTTTATATTGTAAACTTCTAAAAACATAATGTAGACAGTGTAAATATTTAAAAAATATAAGATATCTTGAGACGTAATTGAAGGATCGCTAATTCAAAAACCACCACCTGTATGTAAATTTATTGAACGTATGAATGGAATTATCAAGCACAAGAAAGTAAGCCCTTCAACTTTGTTTACACATTTCACACAAATGAACTAACCATGCATTTCAGAAGCCAGATTGTAACTATTGTTACTTTTGTAATATCGACAACAAACCGCAAAAATAACATAGCGTGGTGCAGAATCTCACAAAAAGTTTTATAAGATGTGAACCATATTTCCGACAAATTTGTCGGAATGTTGTTGCTGAAGGCGTTCTGAATTACATATGCCACACGACCTAATGGTTTAAATAGTGGAGACAGCTAGCTGTTTTTTAGGGTTTCTTTTTCCCCCTTTCTTTACTATAAAATTTTGTCGGTCCCTGTGATGATTTACAAAACATTAAGCAAAGGTATTTAATTTAAAGTGATAGCTTCCATATGAAAACAAACCAGTTATTGATAATTCACACAATGCTTTGATGAACAGGGAACAAAACCTACATTGACACTTGTCAGACCGCCATCATATGATAGCTTTAACTAATTAGATGATGGAACGATGCAAATTGTGGTTTAAAAAAAATTGATGCAAATATGTTAAACAAAAATTGTTTGAATGCGTTTAATGTGAACATTTGGATGAAAATGTGAAACATGTGTAGATATAGGCAACATATATGTTTATCAAACCGCCAATGATAAGAAAACTTTTTATTCTGGGAACTTGTAGCATGCATAATGAATTAATTTCATGTATAGCTGTGGTATTTTATATAATTAAAGCGGTCTGCTCATAGCACATAAAGTAATTTGTCTTTTCTCTCATTTACATGTAAAACATTCCTTAAAGTTTTCAGTTATCAGTACATACTTAGCTGATATGTTTTTGAAAGGTATATTCCAACTAAGTGGCTTTAAGAACAACGTTATGTGGTAATTCTAAGTTGTTTTACTTTAAAGGTGACATGACTTTCGAATAAAAAGAGCACTTCTTTTGTGCTTTAAATTAATATGCGTCAAAATAAGTAGACATCATAGCACAAAGCAGTATAATAATTTTTCCCAAATTGCTATTTTACTATTGGATAGTTTTATCAGTAACGCTACGTCTGACGTAGGCCATGTTTAATTAACGCGTGTGACGCGATTTTTAATGATCTAATTAATTGCGTGGGACATTTCTTAAGTACGTGACGTATAATGATTTCTTATGAAATATGAACGTTATGTTCAAGTAGCATACATGATATATGTGCTATTATTAAAAAGTATACGTGGGAGTTAACTTTTCAACGTTCAAATGCGTAATGGGCATATTTCATCGGTCAAGTTGATTAACACAATTTATTTTGAGGTTATTTTGCAATATACTTTACATAAAGATTAACAGTGCATATAATTTTAGCATTGCCTTTTTTTTTAAGTTTAAAAACCACAATTATTTTTAGAATAAGAAAAGAGATGTGAAGCACTTTTGAAAGAAACCACTTCGGAGTGGAGTATTCTTTGATTTTTCTTTGACTTAACACATTATTCCATTATGAGGTACATATAAAGCACAACTGATGTAACTTCTATCTTCTTGCATGTACTCCAGGCTATATAAGAAACACGTCTACTTCTAACTTTCTTTTGAGCGAAACATTAAACAACTGATGTGGTTAAGGGGTTGGGGCAGTCGTAAATTAAACCTATATATTTATACGTTTAAAGCTCTAGAAATGAAAGTAATTCTTAACTATAAAAATTATCTGTTTTTTTATTTTATTGGATTTATTAAAACAAACAGTTCACTCATGAAGTGGAAGAGTTGTTAGCTTTAGAAAAAATGCTTTGTGTCTTACATTACTGGCACTGTACACGAAGTTGCAATGGTTTTTTATCATATATAAGTATTTTGTTGATTAAATATCTTACATGCATCTAAGCATTCAAGCAAAGTTTATAATTGTAATTAGACATTCTGAAGGCAGTCTGTAGTTCCTTTATAAAGACAGAAGTTGGCTTACAGCCATTACTTATCATAAAAACTTCACACAATTGTTCGATTTCAATTATCAACATTAAGTTTTAAGTTGCATTACTTTTTCAATTTCAGGGAATTAACATACCTTATATTTCTAATGACTCTTAAAAGTAGTTAAAGTTAATTAATGCATTGAATAAGTCAAGGTAAAGTATAATTTACATTATAAAAGAAATAAAAGTTGCCCGAAGCGGAACCACAACGATGAGAAGAAACATTACCATTATATCAAGCAATTATTATAAAGTTATACATTATTATGATGATATACAATACGGTTTAAACACACATTACAGACATGCAACCCACACTACCTATTTATCTACCTTTATATTCCAACGAGTAGTAAGTCTTTGAGAGAACTCTCGAGTCATCATCGTCTTCATCCCCGTGTTCTTTTTTATATAACGCTTCTTTCTCTTCCATATATTTCCTGTACTGTTTAATCATTTTTCTTTTCTCTTCAATACTGTGTGTGACATTTGACACGTCCGGCGGTCGCTCGTACCCTAGCCGGCTTAATATGTCCATCTTAAAAGTTTCAATTTTATCCTTTAAAAGTTCAGAGACTTCTTTGTCTTCATCACTTGCAGGCATTGTGGAGACGATCTCCCAATTATCACAAATTACTAAAAGTATAACAACGCACTGTGCTAATGTTTTCAAACTATGTTCTTTTCTCATATCTTGCTATATAAATAAATATTTCACAGTTAAATAGTTTAACAGTATTCAGATCTGGTATAGATAGAACGATATGATGACTTGAATTAACATCAGGCATATTTATACAATTAATCCACTGTGTAACAACGCATATATGTCCAGAATAAACCCATCCGTTAAAGCACCGAATTATAACAGTAAAAGGCTGGTTTTAAAGAGGTGTGTCCTTAACCTTGATGTAATTATTGGACAAAGATTCTTGATACAGAGTGAACTTAGCGAACAACTTATGAACATGTCTTAACTACTAGTATTTCGAACGTTTGCTCATCGCCTTTCTGAAATCCTAGATGTATCTATCTTTTATGCTCCTCCCACCTGTCAATAAATTTGATATCGAAATTTCATTGGCGATACAATGCGTTACGTCACTTCATTGATAAAAAAAATCCGCGCTGTCCCTATGCATTTCCACAAGTGTATCTTTCTCCGATAACAGATAAATTCCAACACTTGCCTCTCCGCGTTTAAACAGTTCATTTATACTCTCGTTTAAACCAGCTTCTTCAAAAAGTCATTACAAAATCGAAGGTTATATATTCACTTTTTTAAAAAAAAACATACATTTAACTCATTTACCTAAACGCTAGTGCGGTTATAACGAAATAGCGTATGTTTAAATTTTGTCTAATATGTACGTATTTATTTACAATTGATTTCGACCTATCATGCTATTTTTGGCTGCAGGTGAATCGGTAAATGTGATAAAACGAAAAGCGTTTTCTTCAATGACTGTAAATATTTTGACTTTGATATATCAGTGACTACCGTTTTTGTGTATCAAACAGGCCAGGTATTTCATTTATCTTCTGTAAACGTTAAATTATAAAATTACACCTATCATGTCCCGTCAATGAAACGAATTAAACCGTTATCGGCAAAAATACCCTTAACAAACACGGGTTTAAATCTAATTCTTATTGATAGTTGGAGTTATTAATTTGATGGTAAATAAAAAAAATTCATTACATTTTGAACGGGCTAAAGTTTGAGAAGCAGTTTTTGCTTATTCACGGTGTTTTGAGATAGACATAGAAAAATATTTGTTAAACTGACACAAGTTATTTTGAAGATATGATGATGCAAGGGATTTTATTTGTCCCCAATAGCAACAAGTAATCTAATAGACTCCAAATATACAAATGGTTTAAGTGGTTTAAAATAGACACGCCCATATTATCCTTCAGTATTTTATTGATACGTGTTGTCGTATAGTATAAAACAGGGTGAAGTTATATGTGTATTTGTATGAAAATAATTATTTAAGGTATGCGTGAATATGAGTCCTTATGTACCGTAATGTTAAGTTTTGTATATATGGAAAACTACCAAGGGGAATCTCGTTGAATAGAAATGTTTTAAGTATATGATTACAAGATAAGACTTTTTTTTATTCTTCAGTTCAGGAAATTATCGAGTTCATGTCTGTTTTATTGTTTCTTTCTTTCTTTCTTTCTTCTTTTTTCTTTCTTTCTTTTTTCTTTTTTTAAGCTAACCTAATGATCAATTATAAGGGATATGGCTTTTAGATATGTACAACACGAAATACATATACAGAATGCTGGCGAGTCATTTAAATCAGTGAAATAAAAGCAATGTAACTTACCTTCGATATCCGTGAGGTACCTATAGACACATGCTCGAATCCTTGGTTGGGATGCTGAAGCCGTTTCAAATGTGGCCATCATGATAATATATACACTACCAAGCTCCCTAATCTTAATTTAATGTTCGAACCTTCTACCTCTGTGCTGAGAGGCTCAAAACTTAAATTTAACAATCGCTCATATTACTGTTTTATAAATACATGTATATTGGTCTTTATATCTTACCAAGGGAAGTAATCAAAGTTAACCTTCCATACTTAAACGTTACAGAGTTACAAAACGTTGTGAAAAAAGTATCTCGGTATCTTTTTATCCAAGCTAATAACAAGTTAAATGGCACAGTGGGAAAGCTGCTTTGAAATATTTGTAGACAGGTACACGGTTCACCTACATGGTCAGGCACCAGAGGCTCGCATAATATGATTTTATTCAACTCGTTCAATAAATTTAGTATTGAACTCATTCAATATCCACCTATATATGGAAGCTCAAAAATCTTTACATGATTCGTTTCAGCAGAACTATAGTTTATTTGTCATAATCGTTTGAAATATCAACCATGTGCACGCATGTTTGTATATCATATACTAAATTATATACTAAACGTCTGATATCAATGGTAACTTTTTGCACAATTCGCCCGTGTACTATCTAGATAAATGTAAAATTTGTAATAAAAGGTGTCAATCACTTGAATAAAGTGTATGAGTTAACTTTTGTATCTTTTTTCTTATAATGATAACAATAATAACAAACGATGAGCAGCGTTTACAAAATTGCCCTTACAGTAAAGGATGTCCCTTTAAAATGTAATGACATCAAAATAATATCACAACGTGGGTGATACGAGATAACGAATTACTAATGTCAGATGAAAAATGAAAGATTTAATTACTTCTCATAATAGATCTATATATGTAATACAATTTTAGGGTTAGGATGGTACGTATTTTGTGCTCACATTCGCTGAATCCAGCTCAACCGTGAATAAATTTAATTTAAATATTAAGTCTGCTCTGTTTTGTTGTTGTCTTTTCTTTTTTTCTTTTCTTTTTTTGTCAATGCCAATTGTCAGTTACAAATGTATGTATAAGAAAAGTTAAATTAATAAACATAACTCAAAATTTAGCATGCCGATTATTTATTTCTCTATTTCATTTCAAATTACTTTTTGTTATTCTCTTATGCAAATCTATTGAACATACAATTTCCTATGATTCAATGGGTAAACCTACTACATGATATAATTGGAAGAAAAGGTTTAATGATCCATACTTAACTACTCTTACAGACTTTTCTGCCAAGTTTCAAGACAATTGGACATATAAATCCGGACGTACGGACGGACGGCCTGACGAGCGGTCATTTCTATACTCGTCGTCCGACAAAACAGCGCGATGGGCTAATTCTATCACGCTAAACTTTCAAGATTAATATATCATCAATACGAAAAATAGGTTAAATAAAATAATTCATAAAGTGATAGGTTTATTGGTGTAAGAAACTAGAAGGTAGAATGGTAACACTTATCGTATGTATTATATCAAGAGCTTGCAGACTTCCTAATAAAATCGTCCCGCCGTCTAGTCAAAAACTTGATTTACTTGACGCCAATGAAACAATTAAAACTGAACCTGAAAATATAGACTACAAACTATCGATAATGTAGATGTAAAAGAGTAAAACTGACAGGAAATTTCTGATTTTGACAAAACAAAACTCAGAAATGAATGATTGTTTCACACTTGTTACAACACAGTTATAATTGCAATATCTGGCAGGTAAAAATCAGTAACAGCAATTAGCAATTCCTGAGGTGAACATTTTGTTTATACATGCATGTATAATGATTTGAATGAAATGAGCAACATTTATTTATTAGTAAAACTAATTGAGCATGTCAACGTTCTGAAACAGAAAGAAGTCCTAGTTCTTAAGTGTACATGTATTATGTTGTAGAATACTGTATGAAAGTTACATTATGGATCTGCAATCATCCTTACGTAAACTTGTAATATATTTACGAGCCATAAGTAACTGTAATGAAAATGCAACAGAATTTCAGAATAAAACACATCTATCCCAAAAAGTCAAAGGAAATATATTATAAATGTAAATTAATACCTGCATGAAAGTCTTGAACAAATTTTATACAAACATTGAGTAAATAATTCAGTAATCCTTGTTTCCAAGTCTTTCAATGGTTATAAAAAGTTAAAAGTACAGATTTCCAACTTGTCATAACAATACTCATACACGGATTGAGATCATTCTAAAAGTTTTAAATATATAAGCCGCGTCACGACAAAACCAACATAATGGGTTTGCGACCAGCATGGATCCAGACCAGCCTGCGCATCCGCGCAGTCTGATCAGGATCCATGCTGTTCGCTTACCAACCCTATTACAAGTAGAGAAACTGATAGCGAACAGCATGGATCCTGATCAGACTGCGCGGATGCGCAGGCTGGTCTGGATCCATGCTGGTCGCAAACGCACTATGTTGGTTTTGTCGTGACGCGGCTCATATTATCATCCAGTATAACATGTCTGGTATGCCACCATTAAATAACTTAACCATATTGTAACAGATAAAATTGGGAGAAAAAAAAAGTGAGCTGGCAAAGAATACTTATTATATTCTTTTGGTAATACGAAGCAATCTGTATCAATCGAGATACATGTAACTGACAAAAACTTGTCTTGAGTTTTAAGTGGTCAACTTTGAATGTAAAGGATTAAAATTTCAAAATATTGATAATGGTCAAATAGCACTATAGTATACTAAAACATACCAACTTTACCTCTGTCCTTTGTGTGTGGAATAATAATAACTTTTCATTATATGCTATCTTTTTTAAATAATATTCTATTTTAAAATCTTTAGAAAAAACAGCAATTTCCTGTAATGTTTATGGAATCAGAGCATGGTTGAACGGTCATAAAAGTAGTAACTGTACACTGTGGTCACCAGTAAAAGAGGGAGCCAACGTGAATCAGGACCCACATTGAATAATATGAAAAGAAAGCACTTTACGTGAAATAATTCCAGGCTATTCTCATAACAAACCTGTTATATAATGTGTGCATGTTGAATACTTATGTAAGGAGTTGACCATAACAGTTCACATGATTCCCAAATAATTGAAACCCAGGAAAATATATATATGAATGAGTAATTATATTTCGATATTATATACGGAAAGCATTACTGAAGCATTACATATATTGATGACCAATTTTATAACGGCACAATAAAAGTTACATGGAACATAAAAATATTGATTAAATTGTATGTTTGAATAGTTTACCTCCCAACAAACTCTAAGATTTCTGGTCGCGCTCTTACATAAACATTTAAGTTCAGATGTAATACGTAACAGCCATTCCTTACTTGCACTGTAGAGGCAATTGGTTCCTAAATATCAATATATAATATATCAATATAATATAGTATATCCCCCTCAACGACGGGTGTTAATTGATTAAATAAATGTATATTGTGGGATAGGTTGAAATTCTGCAGATGGGTAGCAGAAATATAATATTATATGAATAATAAATGTCATCTTCACAATTCATGATATCTAACAGTATGTTTAAATGTTTGTATTCAAATATCTTTTTAGCATTTCATATTGTATAATTAGACTTTTGAAAACCAGTATAATGCGCTGAATTTGTTTGGGTCTCAGAATGTCAGAAAGGTCAAGGTTGTGAGATTATAAACCAACTTGTTTTTGTATAGTGCCATCAATGCTGTTTCCAGTGTTATAACTGTAGTAAATTGGCTAAAAGACTAATTGCAACACTGATATTCAATTCAATGTCTATTTGGCTTACACGATTAAAAAAATGAGTTGCCTTAACTTGGATATGAACTCCAGACCTGTCGCTTCCTAAGCGAGCGTATAAACCCCTCGATCACAGGAAAGTTAGATGATAACAGCCTGAAGAAAACCACATTATTCTAAATTAGGGTTTGTAACCTTTATTTGTTCACGTTTAACACTGATGTAAATAATCATAGAGCTTAATATAAGCATGCATATCTTTAAAGAATAACACAATATTAGAAATCTTCGACCAATTGGGATTTTTTTCCCGAGAAGGCGTGAAAATTA